GATAAATTAGATGACATATATGTCAAGGGAAAAGAAAAAACTGTAAGATCTCTAGTTGGGCTAGCTAGCTGGTGTTATTTAGATTTATGTGTATGAAGCCCAATAAAACTTCTTTGACTTGCAATATGATTTAAGGAGATATTTTTAAGTTCTTTCAATAATATATAAATATTTGATAATAGATGAGATTGCCAATGATGATAGTGTGATGCAAAAAGAAAAGAGGTCAGTCTAATATTTGAGGAACTCCAAAGTGTTGAGGCAAGGCAGAAAAAGCATGTTAAGAAGCCTAGAAAGAATTAGCAAAAGATGAATGGGAAAAAATAATATAATAACATCTAGGAATATTTTGAGAAAGAGGGGATGACCAAATGCAGATGAGAGATCACACAGGTGAGCATTAGAAACCTCTACTGGATTAGCAACATGCAGGCATTAGTGTCACAGGGGCAAAAGCTAGATCAGAGAGTTTAGTGAGTGAGTGGCTGGTGAAAAGAGAAGGATGGCTTTAAAAAGGCATGGATGGCTGAGGGGGGAAAAGGAAAAGATGGTGTATATGTGTACTTTAATATTAGACACGAGAGCACAGTTACATGTTTGTGGGAAAATCAAGTAAAAGGAAAACACAGAAGACATAAGAAAGAGTAGAGATAATCAGTGATGAAAGTTCAGATTCAGAAATTATAATACAGAAACAAAAAAGCTAAAACAACATTGGTCTTTAAATTAGAAGCCAGAGATCCATTCCTATCTGACATCAAGGACTAACTTCTGGACTATATCTTGGCAGCACTCTGGAGGCCAGGTACAGGATTAAGGAGATTGAACAGGTTGGCAAAGAAAGACTGCAAGCTTTCAGTCTTTTAAAATATCTTTGTGCCGGTCATCACCTCTGTTTCATTATAAAAAATAATCTGATTATATAAACTGAAATGGCAGGGTTTGTTGATTTTGGTCTTGACAAGCAGTGGATCAGAAAAATAATTGCTCCTCATGGTCTCATGGGAAGGAATAAGTCAAGTATCAGAATCTGGAATTTGTCTACTTGGATCTGAACATTAGACACCACTACACAGGAACAGAGATCCCTTCATAGCATATATATATATATATGTATGTCATATATATAAAACATATATGTTAAAGTTATTCATTTGCTTGTTTAGTACATTATGCATTGAATCTATATTCATTCTACAAATATTTATTGACTGCCTATTACCCTCTAGCCACTGCTTCATATGAAAGGAATACACAGGTGATGAAAGCAAATTAAGGCCCTACCTTCATAGAGCTACATTCTATGGAGAGAGAGGTGCTAATCAAATATGCACATATACTGTTAAGCACATGACATAATACCAGATCTGATAAGCAGTATCAATCCTTACTATATAAAATTTTAAAACAGAACTAGAAGTTTAGGTAGAAATACAGACAGTTCCCAAAAATGTAATACATTCCATGATGCAGAAATAAAGCATTTGCTTTAGGAGGACAGATAACAGTGTGCACCCATAACCTAGAACTGGTGAACAATGCCTGAGAACACAGCTAATGCTCAAAATTATTAAACATTATTATATATAGGACATCTCTGTAACGCAGACTAGAGTGCAATGAACAATCAGTAAAGGGCTCTTTGAAAAAAAAAGGCCCATAAAATTAACCAGAAAGAATGAACAGGGATTAAATAGATGATGAAGAGGGAAAGGTCTCCTAAGGAATAGCTTGTGACAAAACAAAAATGGATGATTTTGAGGGATAAGTTTAGGAACTTGAAACTGATGCATTGGTTGAAGTATAGAGTTTTGGTCATGTGAAGAAAAGTGTATCAGGAGAGGTAGAATACAACTCAAAATTTCTCCTTGTTCTGGAGAAAGCAATATCAAGATAATGTTGAAGGTAGGGTGAGCACAACAGTGTCTCCTAATTATCTCATTTCTTTCTAATAGACTGTACATTTTACAAATTAACTCTTCTGTACCAGGTGCTATACTAGAGACTGGAATGAATAATTAGGTTTGAAACCGACCATCAGTGAGGTAACAGTATTAAAATTTTGAGTAATTTTAATTATCCAGGCACTGTTTCAAGTGATATCTGTGTATTAATTCATTTAATCCTTTAAAAAACTTTATAAACTAAGCAGAATTATTATCCTATTTTTTTATAGACAAAGAAACCAAGGCAGTAAGACTTGTTCACCATTGTATTTCTAATTCCGGGCCTAGTTCTTGACATAACAGTTTCTTAATAAATAGTTTTGAATTAATTAATTAACAATGGACAGAGGAATCATGCTGAACCCCTGCTTTACTAAGGTCGTGGTTGAACATATATGATCAGGTCTCTGTCTCGCTGGTTATTTTGTGAGATGATGGTAGAACCTTTGTCCTCAAACTTGGATGCATAAAAAATCTTCAGAATTTCTTGCTAAAAACTATATTTAATGAAGAAGCCCATGAATCTGCATTTTAAAGAGGTACACCATTTATTTTAAGATGATCCCTGAACAAATTTGGGGGAAAAAATTGTTGTGCACTGTGTTGATAGTCATTATAACTGGATATAAGCCTAGTGGATAATGACTGTGATTCAAAGAAGGAGGAGGGAAATGGTGACTTCGATGACAATATAAGGAAATCATCAGTTTTAGTAGACTCTGTTTACTGTTCTCTTCACTCATAAGTCAGGGCTTCTCAGCCTTGGTGCTATTGTCAGTTTGAGCTCTGCAATTCTTTGCTGTGGGAGAGTCTTCTTTTGCATTTTAGTACATATAGCAGCAACACTAGCCTCTACCCACTCAATACTAGTAGCTGCCTTTACCCCCAGATTGTGTTAACTGAAAATATCTCTAGACATTGACAAAAGTTCCATGGGGTCAAGTTGTCACCACTTGAAAACCACTATCATAATGGAAGAGAGCTTTCTTCACTTCCTTACCTATAGCAACTTCTAGTATTCTAACCTAGAATTCTGTAAGACACCTGATCTTATTTCTCCATGAGTCAATGAGTGTGCCCCTCTAAGACACTAGTTTATTTGATGAGTATGATGGACCTTACTTGCTTTATTCAGAATTGACAGTATGTATCTTTCCCCACTTTCCTCCCCACCATACGTACAGCTGGTTTATCAAATCAAATGAGACAGACTGTCAGGGTCAACACATGGGTGGTATCTAACACTATCGTTCCTTTTTGCCAGGTTCTGCAGGATTCAAACCCCCTTTACATATAATAGTCCATATGAAATTATAATTAACTACAGCAGAATAGGATCAGTTTCCCATAAAATATATTATAAAAATAGAAAATATATATCAAAGGAGGAAACATAGAAATGATTAAATAAAAGTACTTGAAATAAATGAATGAATCAAGTTGCAAGTTTCAGCATAAAACTTGCAAAAACCTGGATTTTGGAGAATACAGGAAATTCTCTCCAGTTTTTAAAAATCTTTTACAAGAATAAACAGGCAAATTCTTACTACCCAAGGAGATATCCTTCACCATTCCTCATTAATTTCTTTTAACTGTTCTCAGTGTCTTTCAGTTGTATATGTAAAATTAAAGAGTAAAATCTTGTTAAAAATTATTGATGGAAGGATTACATCTACTGTTTCATGCAATATTATAAAGTATCATATTCCCATCAATGTTTACAAACCTTACCCAATGTTAGCAAAATGCAAAGAGTAATCAGACAAGTATTTGCTATTCACGACATACTTCTAATGAATTAATTCCTAGTTCTCTATCCAATCAGATCAGTGAATTAGTGTGTACATTCAATGAAACAGTTAAATAGCTATCCAAAGCACATTCTTAATTGAACCAGTAAAAGAAAAGAAAACCTCAAATTTATATTGCCATCACATTTTACGTAAATTTATTCACCCTAAAATCTATTATAATTAAACTTTGCTGTTTTATAAGCTATTTGATATGGGCTACCTTGACTAACATGCATTGTGGAAGAGAAAAATACTGCCTAATTAATGTGTAGTGTGAGAAGAAAAACAAGGATGGTCAATGTGCATTTCCAGAGGAGACTAAAAGGGTGGAGAATCAATCAAAGACGGGGAGAAATGCCTAGCAGTACACTGTTTGTTATTTCGGGCGAGAACAAGAATCAGTAACCTCATTACCCCTATCCAGTTTCTTTAAGTGATTTCAGTAGGTAGTGCAGCAACAGTTACCTTACGGCCGTGCACAAGCCCTGTTACTTCTGGCTTAAACCGTTTGAGGCAGACAAATATGCTCAGGTAACTGGGTGGTAATTTGCAGTTCAAACCAGAATCTGGCTAATTCCAGGTAGTTGTGGGGTGGATTAACAGCTAAAGACTCCAACCCCAGGAAGCTTCCGTGGGAAGCATGTTCTTGGGAAGGCGTTTTAAGACAGAAGATGGCTGGGCAGAGAAAGCGCCTGCTTCCACCACCTCCAGCGTCTTCGCCTGTACAGTTGTTCCAGCTGCCGGAGGCTTTCTGGTTACCACGGCAACTGTCGGGCTCTGCTAGGAACTCAAAGCAGAGCCTCTGAAGTTAGGTCCAAACACTGGGGCTTAACAGATGCAAAAGAGGATTGGCCATCTAATAGGTCTACAGCTCCTATGGCTAAGACAACCTTTATAAAATCAGACTTTTGTTTTTGTGTTTGCAAGATGAGATAGTTCTTGCCTGGCATCATTCATTAGTGTCATCTTTCGGTGCCCGGCGGGAGAAGACTGCAAATCCTCTCTCACTATTAAGGCGGTGGAAGGGGGATGTAGCGAGCAAAAGTGGTAACCAGGAATGCACGGAGCCTGCTCATTCATTCGTTCATTCATTCAATTACATATTCAACATCTCCTGAGTGCTCATTTGTGCGGGGCATCCTGCCAGGTGCTGGATCTGCAAAGAGAAAGGAGACACCGCCCCACCCACAAAATTAACAAGATGATTAGCACAAATTAACAGAATCCCCGCGAACCTGGGGAAAACCAATTAGGCACTGCCTGCTTCCCACGGGTCTCTCTTGGAAGACAGATTTAGAATCCGAACGCGGGAGAGGAAAGAGGCAGTGGCCCCGAAATAGACAAGAGGAAGAGCAGAAGGGAAGGAGAAAGCAGCCTCTTCCTAGGGAGGGATTCTGTCAAGGCCACTCAAACGTTTCTCCGCGGCTGCAAGGGAGAAGAGGTTTGTTTTTCTTTTAGAAAAACGGAGCCCTTTTCCCTACTGGGCTCAATTTCTAGTAGGAGAACCCCGCCTCCTTGGGCTACCGATTGGCTCAACTCTTTTTAAGATAATTTATGCCAGCATCCTCTCGGCCTGATTGGCTCGCTGGCTCAATTCTGATGGGAGTCGCATCCTACCTGGTTGGGAGGTGCACTGCCTTTCCACACTCTCCCTTCTTGTACTCAGCCAGCTGCTGCTGAGGTGGGAGGAAAAGTCCTGGCTGGGAGAATTGAGCTAGTGCAGCACACGCATAGAAAAAGCGATTCCGATGGGTCCTTTGAAAGCTTTTCTCTTCTCCCCTTTTCTTCTGCGGAGTCAAAGTAGAGGGGTGAGGTTGGTCTTCTTGTTACTGACCCTGCATTTGGGAAACTGGTGAGTAAATTCAGGGGCTTAAAACTATTTTTTGCTATCTACTCCTTTCCCCTTATTCCTCTGTCTTTTAAAAATTATTCTACGTTAAGTAATTTGTATTTCCTAACACATATTTGGTATTTACCATCGTTTTATTTTCTGATTAGATCTATTCATTCTCAGATAGAAGGAAAGTAACATATTTTTGAAGCATGAGGTTGGTTCAGTTGTTTTTGACTTCAAGCAGAGTATAAATTAGTGAACTAGTGAAGGTTGACTTACTGGGAGAGAGTGAGGGGGAGTAGAAATGACTTTGCCAGTAAATTTGCTGAATGAATGCCACCGATGAACTTTCTGGATGATTCTGCATTTTAAAAACAAAGTTATTTCTGAAACTTGTTGTTAAACAGCGTGATATGTGTGATGCTTTTCTACCTACTGCTATTGCTTTTCCCCTTTCCTGGTTTTTGGTAACTTTCTGGAACAAACCAGTGTTTTACATCAAGAAAGATTGTAAATCTGGCTAAAAAAAAAATCTATCAGCATTAAAAATGTATAGTATCCAAGTAAAAAATAACCGTGTATATTTAATTTGAACCAGGTTTGAGTGTTTTCTTTTAATTGGTTGTCCATCAGTAATTAAAAATGTATGGCCGCATGAATGTCTTGGCTGTGTGTGTGTGTGTGTGTGTGAGAGAGAGAGAGAGAGAGGAGAGAGAGGCAAGAGAGAGAGAGAAGAGAGAGAGAGAGAGAGAGAGAGAGAGAGAGAGAGAGAAAGAAGAGAGTATCGCCAATCACAAATCTCAAATTTAACAGGAACAAAACTGGGTTGTAATACCTTTCAGTAAAATTTTTAAATCGTTCTGGTAGAAAAATCAAATGCTTAGGTATCATTCATGGATTAAATGTAGGAGTAGTGGATGACTTGAGCTAAAATATGTTGATTAAGATATAGACACTTATAAAGGTCTGGGACATGGTACTCATACCATGCAACTTGTTTCAAATAAATGTACTTTTAACATTACATTATTATAAATGTAATTCTGTATAGAATTCAAAAGTAAAATACAATCACTATGAAGATAGAAACATGCCTTTATAACTACTTGTATCACTGCTAAAATGAATTATTATTATAAACATACGTGTAAAGCTAGAGTGAATTTTTTTTTTGCCACACCAGCATATAGAATGTGTATATTTTTCTTCCAGAAAATAGAGATTGGATTAAAGTATGCTAAGTAATATTAGACTTATTAGAAGTTTTTGACATAGTACTTTTTTAGGATTAAAGTTTTCTCTCTCTCTCTCTTTTTTTTTTTTTTTTTTTTTACCCTGTTCCCTTAGATTCTTAAATGTTTGACACGAACATAAACATACTACTGGATGAATTATTTCTTATATATGTCTTGCCATAATGGCTTATTCTTTGAATATATTATAGCATTTTATAGAAGATATTTAGGTAGACAAGTATATCATAATATTACCGAAGTAAAAACAGATTTACCAGTGGTTTTCTGAAACAACCTTTTATCATTGTATACAAGTTTTCCTTTCAACCAAATAGGCAAGCTGCTTAGTAAAGAGCATATTATCTATTCCAAGAGATGTTTTATTTTAAATAAACATGTTTTGTTTTGGGAAATATTTGTGATCATTGTAATTGGCTCCAGAACTCTCATCAAGCTCTCAGAGTTGAAGAGATGTGTGCTGTAGGGACAGAGGGCAGGCTTAGAAGCCTGGAGACATGATCTCATGTGGCAAGGGGTCTTTAACCTCTCTGAACACAGTTTCATCTATGAAATGAAGGAGAGTAGTAGACCACATATGACTTATTTAGATTTTCACATTCAACACATCTATGATTTCAACTGAAAAGTGAAATAAGTCAATGGTTGCTTCACTGTTTTATCTAAGTAGTTTTCAAGAGGGAAATTCTAAGTGTGAATGCTATGGACTTTGTAACCATATGTATAAGTGAGAAAGGTATTGTACAGTTAACACATAATTTCTATTATCATAGTAATATAGGTAACTGGGATTATTTTGTCCAGTGAATAAATATACATTAAAAGATAAATTTATAAGCCATTGTTCTAATTAGCCCATAAGGCCTCAGTTATGAGAGTTCATGATATACTGATATACTTTTAAAAGTACCCCCTAAATCCATAATTTTTAAAAATGAGATAGAAAGCTAGCAATAAAAGCCAAATGTGAGCGTGCTTTCCTTAAGATGCATCGTAAACTGTTTTCTTCAGTGACTGGAAAAAGTTTGACACAGAAACACTTTTGTAGGCAAACCAGGAGAATGTTATTAGAACAAGTTTCTTTCTCCATTGGATTCTATGAGACCAAGTTGGGAAATACGGCAATTAAAAGGAAATACAAGCATGCTTTTGCTAAAAAACAAATTTAAAAAATAATGCTGCAATGAACATTCTTTTAAAATAAGTAAAATAAAGTAGCTACTGTTGGGTGAACTTTTTTATCTTTTTAATATTTAGTTGGCGATAACAGATGCTAACATGTATAAATCATGTACTGTCATATTTTTCTCTCCTTTTCCCTTTCTTTTGGTTAGTTTTCCTTTCCAAAACTATCCATAAATAGTTCAGTTTGTAAGCATTTTAGTGTTTTATATGATTTCCAAAATATATCTTGAAAGTCATCTATTTTGGGGACTCCCCAAATTGGAAGCATTTTTTTTTAAATTTAATCAGTTGCAGTGCTTCGTTTCCTCATTAATTTCCATCAAGAGTATGGAGGAGAGACACATTTTACCTTTTATTGATGAACTATGAAAAACTATCCTATCATTGTAACTAAAACTGTAGTCATGGTTCCTGCGTATCATTCTCTAGGAGATTCTTTGGCATCTTGACAAGTTCTGTAGAATCTCTTCAGCTTGATTTAACTTCTTTGTAATGTTGAAAAAAAAATCTAGTTATAATCGGTTTTTTAAAAAAAAGTGTTTAAAAAGAGATTTTAGCTGTTACCAAAAGTAACCTACAATAAGCCTTGACTAAGAGTTGTATATTGAAAGAGCTCAAGGAAAAAAATCATAATTTTCTCTTTTCAAAACAATTTCCATGAGTCAATAATCATACTATGTGGCATTCAGTTGCCCAGTTGAAAATATGCAAATAAACTTGCTGTTTAAAATGAATTTTTTCAAGTAATTTCAGTAATATCTTTTGTGTGGGTGGCAATGAAGGAATAATTTTTTAAGTGTCTAGATTTTTGGCTTAATTTTGTAATAAAATGCTGATGATAACCATCCAAACTTGAGAACCAAATGCCTAAGTAAAGATATTCCATGATAGTTAAATATGAAAAGGACTGAGAGGAAAAAGATTTTTGAAGCTAAAATGCGAACGTCATAATTGATAAACCCCCTGAGTACAGAGTCTTTTACTTTATCCAAATGATCAGTATCTTTCTTCTATTCTATACTATGAAGAACCCTTATGATTAAGGAACATGAAGAAATGTTTGATATTTCTTCAAATATTAAACAGATTAATTGAATGTAAGAATATAATGATGAAGGTGGAGGCCCAAAGGAGGAGTGAAAAGAAAGAGTAAAAAAAAAACTGAAAAATGACTCTGGAGATACTGAGAAAGTGATTACCAAAATATGATAAATGACTGCCATGAAATAAAAGGAAGAATGAGCTTCAAGAGAGTAATTCACATATGGGCAGGGTTTCAAGTGAGAATCCTGGCCTTTACCAACAGATCTAAATTCCAGTTTCAGCTCCATCATTTCTCACTGGAGTGATTTCAGACAACTCTTTGAGGCAGAAAATCTCCATTAGTGTGGAGTTGTCATATGCATTTCCAGAAACGAAATTTCCAAGAAAGAAAATCTGTGCAAAGAAACCGACACTTAAAATTTTATATGAAAAGAAAGTCATAACAGATATTCTGTGGAATTATAGTTATTCTAGTATGATATAGCCTAGTTAAAGTGGTTTTAAGTGCAGTAGAGTGAAATATTTGGATCTTTTTGTGTTCTTAAATGTCTTCTAAGTCTTAAATGTCTTTTAAATGGGGCTTATACTTATTCATTGCCAAGACCTAGATTTATGACATGAATTAAAGAAAAACATATATTTTAACCAAAATAAAAAATACACCTCTGGAACTCTAAAAATAAACAGAGAAGTCTAAACTTTTGAAGATAGAAGTTGCTGAAAGAATGGATCATAATCAAGGGAAAATAATTGAAGAGCCAAGAGATTTCTCATCAGCAATACCAGAAGACTATGGGGAAAATGTCTTCAAATCTGAAGTCAAGTACTCTGCCTAGAAGATTATACTTAGCCAAATTACCTAACGAGAAGAAGAAGAAGAATATAGCCTAGATATTGTTATTTTCTCAATTTTACGGATGGAAAAACAGGGGAACAGACATTTTTGTGAACTTATTAAAGGTCATCTTGTTGATAGGTGCTGAATCCAAGACTTAAATCCCTGTGTTCTATACCCCTCCTGCATTTTTAACTACCACATCTCTCAGATGATGAATGCAATATAAGTCAAAACAATGAACATTACTGTTGATAATTAAAAAAAAAAAAAAAAAGGAAATGGAGAAAAAAAGAGAAGAGAAGAGAGTTACTACAGTAAATTGTGAGTTCATTGACAAAATCACATTCAGTAGAAAAATCTACTTTGTACCTATCACATACATTCTGGAGTATTATGGGTAGTGCGAGATTATTTTTAAAAAAATTTTGACACATGAAGTACTTGACGCAGACAAAAAAAAAACTATAAGTTAAAAAGTTAAAAGCAAAAATTTTTAATTTACATAAGCTTTACTGAGGAACTGAATGGTTATCTTATTTTAAAAGATGCTATATATAATCATGTTTGAATTTATTGTTTATAGATGTACTAGACAAACCATAACCAAGTAGTGAAAATTGCATGAAGGCAGATTTTCTCCCAATACGACAGTTCTCTAACATGGTAATGGAAACCTTATCACTAGACATGTTCAAGCA